GGTTTAAAATCGGTTCAATCCGATTCGATTTCAGTTAGAAATTTTGCTTGAACTAGATTCCAATTCGGTTCAGAAAATAGCCACACCGGTACAGTTAACCGGTTTTCCCCACCCCTAGCCGGCCCCAACATCTCTTATCACCCAAAAAAAAAAAAAAATTCTACACGAAAACAAGTGAAAATATTATTCTCAATCACCAAGCAAGAACAACACTGACCAAATAAGTACATCAAACTAATAGACCTTGGCTATTATACATAACTGCACAAATACATTTTACAAACTTTTATTTTTTTATTAACAAATTTGTTTATATATTCGAAGTTAACCAAATGCACATTGATAATGTTCTTCCAAAAATAATATATAACAGAGAAATTATAGCTGTTGAATCAACTTAAATCGACATCAACACAATGCAATCAATCACAACCGTCCATAAACAAGAAACAAACCACAAAATTTCAATAAAAATCACAACCGTTTATCATCTTCCTCAACCCTCCTTTTCTTGTGATAATTCTTCCCATGAAAGTCAACAAAAAGAGCCAAAAGGGTAAAGTTGAAAACAGCATTGAAGCACCAACCCCAGATCCCGGAGCACCCTAATCCCGTAAAATGATACCATAGCATAAAAACCGAGACACAAAAACTAAACACAAACTGAACAATCTGGCAATCCGTCACCAATCTCTTCCACGTGGGCCGCATCCCCATGGCGCACAATAGATAGTACAAGTACATTATCACATGCACACTCGCATTAGTAACAAGAGCAATGGGAAATAAAGACTGCGAAGTATTTAACCACAAATAACACATGATCACAACCGTTGCATGATGGTACACGTGAAGGAAAGTGAGCCGTCGGATGGAGTTACTTAAAATGATCAGAAAGGTATCAAAAAATTCGAGAATTTTAGAGAGGTAGAAGAGGTAGGCCCAGAAGAAGAGGGGGCCGGAGGGTGGCGTACGGGGAGGGAAGCAGAGGGCGTGTCGGAGATTGGGGGTCTGGAGGAGGATAGAGAGAGAGCAACCGAGGGCGAGGATGAGGGAGAGGAGGAGGAGGAGGAGGCTGTGGAGGGCGGAGATGGGTTTGAGGAAGTGGGGAGGGAGGGAGAAGAGAGGGAAGTAACGGGAGAGGAGGAAGGTGAGGGAAAGGTAAGTGAGGAGAGTGAGGAAGAGGAAATGGGGAGAGGAGGCGAACGTGAGAGGTGGGGACCAAGTGAAGTGGAGGATGGTGGGATGGCTGAGGAGATGGTGGAGAGTTGAGGTGATTGAATCCATGGGAGAGGGTGAAGATTTTGTTTTGTGGAAACGGAGAATGGAAGAAGAGGATAGGTTTGGTTTGGAAGGGGGGTCAATTGGATTCAGGTTGAGTTTTTACTTTTAAACTTTTGTGGAGAAAGTGTTTTCAACGAATGTGGGCTAGGCTGAAAAACTCATAGCATGAGCCC